ACATTTAATAGCTAATCTACGTGTTACCATAAATCAGTCGCATAAGGCATTTCACAATTCATTTTGTATATAATAACAATTTTTCTGCACCAGATGCGCATTTCGGCAATAAATGTCTCTTTAGTGATGCCCGAGGCCAAAATATTTGAAAATCCATAGCTTATTAAAATAAGAGTAGAAATGTGTCTGAGTACACGAATATCCCCGCTAAAGCTTTGCAATTTCCCAAGCTAAAAAGGGACATAACTCTATACGGTGAAAGACCCACTGCCCAAATTCGAACTCTGTCTGCGTGTTGTGGTTGTGTTGTGGTTCATTGTGTATGATTTTCATAAAGATTGAATGAGGCAGTCTTAAGTTAGAGTGTTGAAACGAAATAAATAACAATATTCCAAGTTATAAAGGGGCATAACTCTAGAATGTGGATGAAGAAAACTTAAGGTAGAGTGCGGACACGAAAATGGGACAGACGGAAGGACGAAAGGACAGTCAAAGGTAATACGTAATGCCCCCTTCGCCTAGCGCCGGTAGCATAAAATGAAGAGCTTATAAACCAAAAGGGACAAAAAAGAATAGCCAAAGTCGGGCAAGGAATCAGAGCTTTGTCTGAGATATATTCCTAAATTTGAAATACCCGGTAATTTAAAAAATTTTGTAACAGCATATTTTAATCAAACAAAACCCGTATTTCAAGCCAGTACCGAAGTAGTGGCTACTGAGCTGGTGATACCATTGGGGATTTACAGTCCACCAGCAGAGGTATCGACCCAGTGGTAGTAATAACATTTGAAGGTATCAATTTTTCTGTACCAGATGAGCATTTCGACAATAAATTTCTCTTCAGTGATGCTCGAGGCCAAAATATTTGAAAATCCCAAGCTTATTAAAAGCTATTCAAGGAGCACATTCACTACTATTAGCAAATTTTTTTTAGAATGCCAAAGTGAAATAAACTACCGAAACTAAACCAATTTTACCTGTGAAATATAGACACGTTGCGCTTTTTCATTCATTTGTGTTTTTCAATGATACACGAAACCTAATGTCGGTCATGCGTAAAATGATCATGTGACGCACTTGCAGGCCCAGAAAAGGATTTTTCTTTGGATCATGAATTAGTTTGAAATTGTATTTATATTGTTCTTCAAATAAAACTGATAAAGCATGTAAATATCTCTAGCAACTTTAACCAATGATACATATGTACAGAGCAGATGCAAAAAACAGATTGATGAATCATGATGACTGATTACGGACTTTTTTAAAATTTATTTTACTGAATTTTAGCATACTTATTTCGTAAAGTTTTGTGAAAGTCGGTCTAAATAGCCATAACAAATGCAGTTGAATGAATGACCCTTTTGTATCTTTCGCCTCTCTTTAGTCATGTGTAGAATATCAACAGCAAGCTAGCTCATTTCGTATATTTTTTTCCCAAAAAATGAAAACTTTATGTCAGTTATCTGGCTCTTTTAAGAGCCTAAAACATTTCAAGGGTTGGGATACACATGGGACATTCATGCAATTCAAACCTTTATGTGGATGGCTTGATAGTGATCGATTTTCCATTCTTTATCACTACTTTTGAGATAAACAAAGCATAGTGCATTGAGCACAACATTTTATACATTCTATTCATGAACATTTCAAGGAATTTATAAATATAATATATAATCAGAATTTTCAAGTTACAAAATAATGTGTATGTATAATACTATTCTTGTCAAGAAAAATTACATAAATTGTGCAAGGTGCGTGAATTTAGTTTTTATTATGAATGCATTTCTTTTTACAGCAGCTTTACCTAATTAAAGTTGATTCCATGATCTATTTTGAAACAAAATGTTTCTGGGTTCAGAATATTTAATGAAATCCTTTAAAGATCCAGATCAAGAATTTCAATTTATATATCTTTTCAGAAAATCACGAAACAGGTTTCGCATCTTTTTTTGATGGATCTACCGCAGCCATCAACCAATTAACCATTTCGGCCTTTCCACTCTTGCGCACAATATTCATTAAACGCTTTTCTCTAAAATATTTCGGTTTAGCATACAACCATAATACTCGGAGAATATTTAGATGGCCTTTCAGACAAGCAGCAAATATAGCTTCTTTAAAATCCAATTTGTTTTTGTCAAACCGTTTCAGTAGATCTACAATCTGATCATTTCCCGAATCGCATGCAGATTGCATTACCTTTTGTAAATCAAATTTTCTAGAGCTAAATTTTTTAATCAGAAACAAGTAAATGGCAAATGTATCAAAGCCGTGACAAGCAGCTTCTAACGCTTCACTCGAATTTATATCTCTGCACGTCTCACTGAATTTGTCAAATAACCATTTTACGTGGCCTATCTTTCCTTGATTACAAGCTAGAAGTACTGATATTTTAATGTCCAGAACATGATTATCACATTCCATAAGCATCCAATTAAAAAGTTCAAAGCTACTGTTTTCGGACAACTTACCGTTTGATATTTCCTTTTTGAGGCTTGCTTTAAATGTTTCAAGTATTGCCAATTTCATGTCAAACTTCATATTGTACTTCTCGAGAAGCCACATAACTAAGTCATTTTTTCCGTTTCCACATGCCATTGCTAAAGCTACATTCAAATCTGCATCTTTTTCGTGAAAGGTATTTAATAACCAATAAACTGTTTCTATACTTCCACTGAAATTCAAAAACCATTCTACAAGTCTAGTTTCACCACTTGTGCTTGCTGCAAATAGTAACGTTTTCATATCAAATGATTTTTTATCAAATGTTTCTAGAAAGTAGTTTACTAACCTAAAATTTCCGTTCTGACAAGCCAATTTAACTGCATTACTTATATTTACACAGTTAGAGTCATAGCTCGTTAACAACCATATAACAAATTCAGCGTTATTTTCAGATAGACCGACAGATATGACATGATTCAAGTCAAATTAATCACACCGTACTTTTCAATAAAAAATCTTAACGTATATATATAGGAAGATGTGGTATGAGTGCCAATGAGACAACTCTCCATCCAAGTAACAATTTATAAAAGTAAACCATTATAGGTCAAGGCTAAATTCCAAACTGAAATATCAAGAAACAAGGCTTTGTTGAAAGATTCATATAGCCACTTCACAATATTAAGATTTCCTTTTCGACACGAGCTTTTTCCACATCAAAATTACCAAAATTAAATTTATCCCAGAGTAAAGTTACAACATCCAAAGTTCCACTTTCACAAGCAGCTTGCATTATTGTGTTCAGATTCAAATCTTCTATATAACACCTTTTTAATAAATATTCAACTAAATCTACATTCCCATTCCCTTTTCTGCAAACCGAAAGAAATGGCACAATAACATCTATATGATTTGTTTCAAATTGTTCAAAAATCCATTTGACTACTATTCCTTTTCCATTCCAACAGGCAAATTTAAAAAATAATGCAGATCAACAGTTTTCTTACCATAAGTTAAACTAATATAGTCTATGAAAGTTTTATCCATATATAAAAAAGCCGATTCAAGAGCACTTTTAATTGCTAATTGTAAGTCAAACCACTCACAAACTCTCAGACTTGCCAAATTCTCCAATAACATTTTCCAGGAATTGACATCAAATTCACGTGCGAAGAAATATTCATTAAGTGAAATGTGGTATAAGTTAAAGCGATTAAATTCAATTTTACCTAAGATTAACAATATATTTTCACGATGAAATTGACACGCATTTTCTATAGCGGTAAACAGATAACAAACGAGCATCCCTAGAAAGTCTATCAAGATTCCTCCGCGACTTAATGAATTCAAGCAAATATTTAACAGCATTTTCATTACCATTACAAACACTAATCGTGTTCAGCAAGCCTGCAGGTAGGTAGAAATGACGGTGTAATGATCTTAAATTAAAATGACCGGATGTTAGCCTCTCATTTCTAATAAACCGATCACAGTCCGACCGTTCGTATTCAAAACATATGCTACTTATAAGTTTAGTTCCAGTTTGGATAATGATTCATGACCCACATAACATTTGTACATAGCGATCTGGAAATAAAAAAAAATCTTTCTGCAAAACGCTTATCAATCGACATGCCAATAGTGGGTAACACATTTCAGGTAACGATAAAACTACATCTCCTTCATTTGCTAGAAATTCCTGGGGTCTTAGCATTTCTAGAATAAAATCGAATTTCATGATGCTTTCTATCTTAACATCTGCATATGACAGAAGAACACTTTCAAATATTATCCTATGCTGAAAAGAATATTTGCCAGACGAATCAGTTTTCAGATAAAATACCGGTCATTCTTTTAGCACTGTCAACTAAAACAGCACAATTACATATCTCCGACGAAAATCGATAAATAGAAGTTAGTATTAGATCAACCATTAAAAGATTTACATCATAGGGATAAAAGTATCCTCCATTTAGCAAAACGTAAACAAGTGTAACATATTTTTGCCTGTTAATCATGTCCTTATGTCCTAAAACCCTTAGGTTATTGATTTCGTCACATAGATTACGAGTTGGATGACGGAAAAAATTGGAACCTTGCTTTAAAAACAGAAAGTTTGATGTAAATAAATAGCAAGATTCTGGAAAACCCAATAAAGGATTATTATCAACGCCAGCAATTTCACAAATCTGAGTTGTACTCAAAGTAGTTATTTCCATTGACTTATCTCCCTTTACTGCTGTTAATTCGGTTTCTATTACGTTAAATTTTGCACAGTACTTCCGAAGACACTCCATTTTCTGATGTGGATTCATCTGATGGCTTTGTAGTCTTAATAGATTAGATTTTTCAAATAACCTATGTTTACTAATTGTATGTTCACACATCTTTTTGATTGTATTTCTCATTGTTAGAATCACTTTAATAAAGCCCCTCTTAACGTAGGAATACATTATGTCCAGATCTTTCATGTGCACATCTTCATTGAAACAGCAGTTCGTTTTTCCAAAAACATCATCAACAAGTACAAGTCTGTCATCTGAACGTTTCAGTTTACTAAATAGCGATGATTCATGTAGCTGGATCATACCGAAGTCTGTGTGTTGTTCTGTATATTTTCTCAGCAACTCTAAGCTATTTCTGGTTTTTCCAGTGCCAGGAGGTCCAACCAAGACAGTAACTCCTTTTCCATTTAAGCAAGAAATACCAATGTTGATAATGTCAGTTTCGACGAAAGTGTTTTCTGAACCGTGTGCTTCTACTTGTGCTACTAAATAACCTGCACGTAGATAGTATATTATAGTTATATATTATTAGCAAACTTAGCTGCTAATATAAAAGTCGTCCTTCTTTATGTTTTTCACTACATGTAGACAAAAGACCATAAAGAAAGTGTGGCGAAAACGTATATGAGCAACGGGGAACAAAAAACTAAAATCAAATGGTTATTGTCTTCAATCGTTCCATGAACCATATTTTTATGTTATTGCATTGAACGCCAATAATACATGAGAGATATTTTACAGCTTATTTTGACAAAATAAAACCAAACTGAGTACTATAATAGCGAATTATTATTACAATATTCCGCTTTTATAATTGTTTGAAACAAAAAAAAAAAAATATTTGTATTCGTCTCAATCGTCGTATTTGACCTTTTAAATTAAAAATCTTAATTAGTTTCAAGCATAAAATGAGTCATTTCAGTCGATGAGCACTAGAAGTATATAAGGGAAGGCAATTTCAGTGATACAAATTCTTACAACGTAACACGAGAAACTGTATGCATCTATGAATTCTTATTTAATACATACTTTGTAAATTGGACTTCTGTATTTGATGTTCTGTAAAAACAAAAACAGAAACAAATCATTAAAACAAACGTATCATACAAATAATAGCAGTAAAATTTTAGGGAAACGTCTGTTTGAGATTTGGTACAAACTGAAAATCAGAAAAGAAAAATTTTGCTTTTATAAAGTTAAAGATGTATTCCAATTGCGACACAAACGGGTGTCTTATGTCGAGCAAAATCAGGTTTTCCTTTCGATGCACACGAGATCACTTTATTTGGCTGGGTTAGTGTTGCTCAGTCTTTAGTTTTCAAAGTTGTGTTTTGTAGACTGTTGCTTGTTTGTTCGTCGTTTTTGATTTTTTTGCCATAGCGTTGTCAGTTTGTCTTCTACTTGGGTTTGAACACCCCTTTTTCATGGCTCGGTATTTATACATTCTCCCATTGTGTTATTGTTATATGATCATTTTTTGTATTCTTGTCTTTCATTTTTGCTTACGTGCTTTGTCTACAGAGTTTGTATATGCCATTTTTCTTTTCTTTGTTCACATTGGTGCTTGTTTTTTCAAAGTAATTTATAACACAATGTTGACTGCTGTACCCCAATTTTTGACATTTTTACCTAATATGTCTGTTTGTTTTGCTCACACATTGTTGTCAATATAACAGAATTCTATGCGACTGTCATACAAGTGAGAGGTTTAGCTACCTATAAAACCTGGTTAAATCCACAATTTTCTACATAAGGAAATACCTGTACCATGTTAGGAATATAACAGTTGTTTTCCATTCGTTTGATGCGTTTGAGTTTTTGATTTTTCCATTTGATGTCGTAATCGTCCCTTCGTAAATTTTACGGACGCCATTACGAGTTGGTTGACCATTATGGAATATCCGTTTTACAAATGACAACAGATGTTCCAATTGTCGTAACTACAATCTCGTCCCCTTTTCCCCGGATGTGACCAACCGAATAATATTCATCGCCGGATTTGTACTAACATGAGCAACACGACGGGTGCGACATGTGGAGCAGGATCTGCTTACCCTTCCGGAGCACCTGAGATCTGCCGTAGTTTTTGGTGGGGTTCATGTTGCTCAGTCTTTGGTTTTCTATGTTGTGTTTTGTGTACTACTGTTTGTTTGTATTTTTCTTCTTGTCGTTGTCAGTTTATTTTCGACTTGTGAGTTTGAATGTCCCTTTGGTATCCTTCGTTTATCTTTTGATAAGGGTCTTTCCGTTTTGAATTTTCCTAGGAGTTCAGTTATTTTGTAATTTTACTTTTTTGGTATCTCCCGACTCTCTTTTATATTGATGTTTCGGACTTTTCCAGAATTTGATCTTGATGGCAGATTTTTAAAAGTCTCTGTAAAAGTTATTCACAACCTACCCAAACTTGGACTGCTTAAGTGCTCGACATGTTATATTTTACACATTGCTTGCATGTCTTTGTATTTCGTGTTGTTTGATATTAGGAGGCTTATAACATTTATGTCTAGATGTACGTCTGATTTACACCTGCTGCAATCTGTTACATATGTTTCATATGACTGTTCTTGTATTAATAGTATTTAGTAGGAATAGAAAGAAAATATAGTTTTGTTTCATCCCTGCAAAATTAAGGGTTACTCATCTTGATCTTTGACTGTAACTTAACAAGTAATACACCGTTCAATATATTATGACTACCGTGAAAAAGGAGTAAACATAATGGCTTTCCAAACATTTATGGTAAAGCAGCCTGTCGGTAGTAGCATATAATTCCTTCACTAGTCACCTATCGATTCAGTGTCACTAGACTACAACAAAAGGTATATAACAGAACTATTTTTTTTATCATCAATTGATTGACAACACTGTTTCTAAAATAAAAAAAAATCCAAAAGTAACCGCCAGTTAATCACACACTGTTAATCATACCTTCTGATAACTTGGTTAGGTTGATCTTTTGGAAATAATCGCCGAATGTGTTTTCTACACTGGATTTGATTGTATCCGATACTTTCTCAAAACTGCTGTTAATTGTTTCTTGTAGCTTTGTTGTTATATCTTCAAAACTCTGAAAGCATAACTTTCTAAGTAAATAACTTTGTATGTTTAAGCAGCCGATATTTGTCACAGTGATTTGTGCAGTAATAATAGCTTAATTGAATAATTAAAAAAGCAAGTACAGTATTAAAAAGAAATTTCGTGAACACCTGCATTTATTTACTAAAAGAACATGAACTTAAACATGTTATTGTTTAATTTGATTAGATAAACAGTTACATTTGTAGTTTTATCTGTTCAGATGTTAAATAATCATGACAAATTCATGCAAATATAGCCAATGAATTTTACTTCTGGAAGGTAATAAATGTCTTTCGAGATTAGCCTTAAGAACAGTACGGTATCAATCCGTAAATTAATCATAATATCTTCGCATAGAACTGAACGAGCCAAACTTTCCAGAGGATATTCCTCAACCGTAGGTTCCCAAAGCAGATGATAAATCGCTTGTTGATTCTTTAAACCCCCTGAAGACCATACTAGTAACCAAATTAGATAAAAAGAATAGAAGACATAACTCATCCAACAGCATGACCATCTTTATCGAAAGATTAAAGAAACATCTCTTCAAAATTTAAGGTTGATGATAATCAAATTTCACTAGAAAGTATTGAAAGTGCTTTATGAAATCATTCCCCAAATATGCAAACCTTAGATGGGTTCTTGGACAGATTACATTCTTGAAAAAACTTATGCAGGTCGTAGTTAAAGGGTAGAAGAGAGGTGAAGGATACCAAAAGGACATTCAAACTCACCAGTCGAAAATAAACTGACAACACTTTGGCTAAAAAAGAAAAAGACAAACAGACAAACAGCAGTACGCAAAACACAACATAAAAAAACCAAATACTGATCAACACGAACCCCACCAAAAAATGGGGGTGATCTTCGGTGCTCCGGAAGGGTTGCAGATCCTGCGCCACATGTGGCACCCATCGTGTTGCTCAGGTAGCAATACTCAGTTAAGAAAAAAACTTAAAATTGACACTCATAATTTTTAACCACCCTCTTTCCCTTCCTTTCTAACAAATAAGGTTTAATATTTGTGTAATGCATGTATATATTTATGGAAAGAGCCTCTTCCATAGATGTGATTTCCAGTAGTTATAATGGTGACATATAATCTCTTTTTTGGTGTAACCATGGCAACAATCTGCATTTATTTGATACAAAATATTGCAAAAATTTGCAATTCCAAAATTTGGTCCAAAGTAGAATTTCAATCCATTAGAGTGATACCTTTCCTGAAACCATAGACATTTAATTATCAAGTGGTAAAAAAAAATCATATGCATTTCTGCTCGTTTTTCCATAAAATTGAATTGAAAAGATCGAGGTTCAAATCTTTGTTGAAAAACACTACAATATTTTCTGGACCTATGGGGGGTACGGATGTGAAAATACGGACTATCAAACAGAAAAATGACCTATAAAACATGCTAAAAACAATCTAGATGTTCATATAAACCCACTTGGAAGGCTATATTATTCTTCAACTATCTAAAAATCAATTTTATTGTTCAAAAACTTTTATATTTAGAAAATTCACCATGGCCAAAATGCGAAACTAAACTTCTACCTGTGTATTGCTACCTCATATTAGTACAAACCAGGTGATAAGTGTTATTCGATTGGTCACATTTGGGGAAAAGGGGACGGGATTGTAGTTACGACAATTGGAACATACCCGTTGTCATCTGTGAAACGGATATTCCTTAACGGTCAACCAACTCGTGATGGCGTCCGTAAAACTTACGAAGGGACGATTTCAACTTCACCACTTAGAACTCTTGGTTTAATATTTCCTTGTGAGCTGCAATCCTCTATCAAGGAAATCATGACAGGAAATACATGCCCTGGAATATCGTATCAACTGGGAGATATATACTCTGTATGCAGGCGCTGCTGGAATCTTGCTTCATAGAAATGGAAAGATCACAATTTGGAAGCTGAAATCATCCCTTTTGTCGTAAAGTTTTGTTTTCAACCGACCATCATTGTCAATTTCTAGATGTAAGTCAAGATATGAAGCATTCTTAAGTGTATCTGTTGTATCCTTTCTCTAAAGTTCGATGAGATAGATGCGTTCAACATGGTCACCAAATTTTGAATTATTTAGTGAGAGAACAATTTAAGTAAGTTTTGCTGATTCTTCCCCCGCTGGGTTTGGGACGATAAGAGAATATTAAGCAGGCGGCATGACTCAGATCTGAATAACGAGAAGATACGTCCACTGAAAGACATGGCTATGCGTAGTGCTAAGGGAGAAAAAAAACAAAAAAACAACCAGCAACATTTACCCGAAAATTCCGCTTCGTCAACAACCCGCTGATCCTACAGAATCTTATAGTAATCCTGCATGATCATGCTCAGATTAATCAAAGTTACCATTGTTATTTTTCAGATTAGCACATCTCGAATCTTGCTCATACGACATCCATCACTTATTATAGTCTACTGTAAGAGGCACGGTAACTGAAGAAACACACTGTCTTGTACTAGTAACTGAAGCATAAGTTATCCGACACCAGCGCTACAACCAACAGAAGCCTTTCGTAATGGAGAGCATTAATAAAAATTTCCGCAGTAACTGTTGTTAATGATAAGTATTCAAATATAGATCAATTTTCAGTCCACTTTCATAAACATAATTCCATAAATATTTTAGAACGGGTTCAATTTTTAGATAATTGTCAGTCTTGTGACATATTAGCTAGGTATGTAAAGTAAAAATAAAAACAACAACAAAAAAACATGACGGAGTGATAAGTTCGGTGTGTATGAGCCTCCTGCAAAATTACGTTGGAACAAGTGAAAAACTATGAGTTTCATCGGACTTTTTTTTTTTAAATAATTATATACTGAACATGTATAGTGTGTAGCCAAACAGATTTTACACCTCCCAACAAAACAAAAATAACAATGACGTTGCTCTTTCAACAAAAACAGCAGCAAAGTTTTTGTTAAAAACTAAATTAAGCTAACGACACTTTGCCTACAAGCACACCTCATACTTCATCTCAGTAAGGTAAGTAATCCTACACAATACCAACATAATCCTCTGAATCAGACTTTTGAATGTAGAAATCAACAAACGATTCCACACCCACAACACAGTCTTTAAGCACAGACAAATAGTGTTCTCCCTTATGTTCCAAGTCCACAAGCAGACATTACATATTCTGCATATCACCTTCCTCAACCTCCGTTTCCTGCCACAGCTAAGTACATGTCCACATATGGAGCATATGGAAATGCCATTTTTTTTTGAAAATCATGAACCAAAGACTTGAAAGGTTTGACTTGGATTTAAGTCTCTAGACTTGATAAACAAGTGAAACTGCGAGCTACTGCTCACTGATGATACCCCCGCCGCAACTGGATAATTTTAATATGTAAGTGTTGGATAAACAGGAAGTTGTTGAGTAATGAATCTGAAAACGTATCACACGGTAAACCTGACTTAAATAAACCTTGAAACCAAATTTCAGAAATCCTTATGATGTAGTTCCTGAGAAAGATGCGACGAAAAATATTCATGGGACGGATGGACGGACGGACGGACGAATGGACGGATGGACGGACGGACAGACAGAGCTAAACAGTATACCCCCACTTTTTTAAAGCGGGGGTATAAAAATTAGATGAACATTCCGGAACTATACACCGAAATTAAGATGGTAGAAAACTACACACAAGATATTAAAGTAAAAATAATATTTAACAAAGGATGTCTAAAAACTTCAGTCATTCTATGAAGTATAACCTCATCTTTGTCAAAATTCAACAGACAGATCTAGATGAACACTGAAGACACAGGAGCTGTCATAATAGACTTTACAAAAAGGTACTGGAAATTCCTACTGCATAACATATTCGATTTCAAAACGTCCACAGACAAAGAAAGGGTCATGACGGACAGCCACGTAATATACTTGTCAGGTTTGCAAACTTACGTGATCATTAACTTGTACGTAAATCTGTACCTGAAAAACTTAAATTAAAACCACAACGCTTAGCGAACCAACAATACTCGACCGAATTAGTGACCGCCCAACAGAGAGGCGAAAGATACCAAAGGGATCTTAAAACTTAAAAATCGAAAACAAATTGACAATGCCATGGCAAAAGACGAAAAACGACCAAGAGACAAAACAGTATACAAAACACAACATAGGAAAGATATTCCATACCGGTCAACCAACTCGTGATGGTGTACATAAAATTTTCGATGGGATGGTTTTAACTTAGCCACTAGGGTTAAGCTAGCTATAAAACCAGGTTTAATCCACTATTTTATACATAAGATGCCTGTACCAAGTCCGGAATATGACAGTTGTTTCTCCATTCGTTTGAAGTGTTTGAGGTTTTGATTTTGCCATTTGATAAGGGACTTTCCGTTTTGAATTTTCCTTGGAGTTCGTTTTTTTTGTTATTTTATTTTTTGAAACTCTTGGCTTAAAGCGTTGATTCCTAAACTTAAAGAATTCAGCGTCAAGGTACACAGCTTCCTTTATTTTCCACCAGATAATGGTAAACTGACAACCTAACAATCCTTCCCGCGAGGGGCCTCCTAAAGCAATACACAACGAAAGAACAAATTACAGACAAACATGGACTTTTAAGTTGGACAGTTGACAACTTACAATATTGCACTTTTTGGTGTTTTTTAACGTAAAAACTCCTACTGTTTCAGACTACATTATTCCTGATGAAAATTTGTTTAAAATATTATATATAAATGACTTTAATTCAGCTTGTGAATCATTTGCCAAAGCAAGAAATAATATATTAAAAGACCTGTCATGAGTTATCAATAGTTTAATCATGCTCACGTATTGATATATTATATTTCATTCATACATGTATGTATTTCTAATCTGATGTTTTTTGTTTTGTTAACATTTTCTAGTCTATGGCTCTAAAATATTAAGGATGAACATTCATATTGAAACTCATTGACTGTTGTGCTGGCGGCTCAAAAGTGATACTATTAATGTTCAATT